TCTTCTTCAGGGACTCCTATGATGCGAATATTATACGTTTCCAGTTGTCCCATAGTTCTCTTAAGCTGTCTTCCTGTTTTTTAATAGTTTTTTCCTTTTGTTTTTCTGATTGGTTGATTTTTTCTACCCTGTCTTCTAATTCACTGATCCGGTCCTCAGCTTCCCCTACTCTGCTTTTTAAACCTTCCAATGTGTTTTTCATTTCTGATATGTCATTTTTTATCTCTTCTTGTTGGTTTTTAATTTCCAATTGGCTTATTTTCAGTGTCTCTATGTCCTTACTCATGCTGTTCAGCTTCCTCAAGATCATGGCTCTGAATTCTAGCTCTGTTAACATGCCTAATTGCTCCCCATTGATCTCATCTTCGGTGGAGGTGTCTTGCTCTTTCATTTGGCTTCTGTTTCTGTGTTTCACCATTTTGGGTATCACTGTGGGCTTTGGAACCTGTCAAGTTCTCCGTGTGGGTGTTGGTGTTCTGCTGTTTGTGGCTCCCTCTCCTGTGTTTAGATGAGCGAGGGAGGACCCACGTTGAACACCACTGTCAAGTCTTACTTTCCTGGTTAAAGTTGCCAGCCCAGCAAACGTAGTGTTATCCTCTAGCTTTTTGCCTGGAGGCTAGCAGTCTAGGTTAATTGATGAGTTTTGGGTTGTCAGTTGATTGAAAAACTCCCTCTGGTGCTCAGCCAAGGGGCTTTCACGAGGGTGGGGCAGATGCTGGTTGTTAGTGAGCCTCAATTAGCACTTCAATGGCCCACAGGGTGGGGTTGGATCTCCGAGGGAGGGGCTACTGCCTCTCCTCAGAGCCCTGGGAAGGAGCAATGTGGCCACCGTCCTGAGTGGCTGCACTCAGCCAAAGCTCCGAGAGCCCTCCAAACCCCGAGTGTCCCCACACAGTTCCAGTCCAGTCCGCCCTCCCTCCGCCGGAGCCCAAGGTGAGTGGCTGTGGCTGTTTCAGCCTCTGTCCCGGCTGCGCTGTGGGGCCGCCTGGGAGTGTGACCCGAGGGCGCTGCTCCCAGCTGAGGCCGCTGCCGAGCTGCCGACCGTGGGCTCCCAGCCCCGTCTCGCGCCTTCGCAAGCCTACCGGGATGGATCAGTGTCCCTCGTTGTATGGTCCTCGCAAGCTGCTTTTCTGTTGGTTTTTCCCATCGATGTGTCTGTGTTATAGTTGTAATTCCAGTTTGGTTCTGGGAGACGGTCTGTGTAGCTCCGTTCACTCCGCCGCCATTTTTCGGTTCCCGGGATAACTTTTTTACCACTCATTTCTTCTACCACTCATTTCTTCCCCCTCTGCGATTTGTCTAAATAGATGTCCTCTTACAGTCGTGGCTCTGAATTCTTTCCTAGCCAGAACTCGAGTACCGAGGTTGCTCAACCCAGACCAGGGGTCTGATGTGACCCCTGGTGCCAATTCTTGCCACCACTGCCAACAGACGGCAATGACGCCTGCAACCGCCCGTGCACTCCGCCAGCAACAGCTGGGGCCGCGAATGCAGTTCGGTGCGTTGGTTCGTCACTCACTGCAGTAAGGGGATGTCAGGAAGAACTGCTAGGGTGTAGGCTTTGGTTAGATGATTTGGGAGAGGGGACAGGTTTTGCTCTGAATTGGGTGCTGTCAGAAAGCGGGGGCAATTCTAGGATGGGGTATTTTGTGGTCGCATAGTGACCTTATTAACATCCGTGCTTATATAGAATGATGACCTGCCTTGCTTTGCTTCTCTTTGCCATAGCTTCGGAGGAGCCTTGTGCCTTATTCCGTGTGGGCTGCTATAACAAAGGACCATAGACCGAAGGGTTTATAAACAACAGAAGTGTATTTCCCACAGTTCTGGAGGCTGGGATGTCCGAGATCCAGGTTGTGGCACAGTTGGTGTCCAGTGAGAGCCCCCTTCTTGGTTCACAGACTTCTGTCTTTGGGTTGTGCACATGGCAGAAGGATCCAGGGAACACTCCGGGGTCTCTTTTATAAGGTCACTAATCCCAGTCACGAGGGCTCTGTCCTTATGATCTAACCGTTACCCAGCCCAAGGCATCTGCCACTTGGGATGTCCTATTGAAGAACAAGACATAGTCGTCCTTGTAAGGTAGCCAGGCGCCGCCGGTGGGAGGTGGGAAGAAACCGAAGAGCCAAACAGCCGAATAAGCAGCAATCAGGCTTTATTGGGTACACTCCGGGCGGGTTCACAGACTCCGGGGTCGAGTCCGAGAAGCCGCGCCCGATGCTGGGGTTTGTGATTTTTATATCTGCGCCTGTGGCAGAGGGAACTTGTTGTTAGGGTTAGGTCCTGAGGGGCTACGCATGGGGGCCCCTGGAATGTGAGTCTATTGTCCTGGAGCAAACAGTTCCTGGACTAGGACAGGAGAATGGGACAGGAGTTGATCTATGAGTGCGGGGCAAACAGTTCCTGAAACAGGGAGGGAGCCTAGGTTGGGTCAGCGAGGTAACGGCTGAGCAGTTTGCCTGGTGCCAGTTCCCAGGCTCTCGGACAGTCCTGAGGTAGTTTTATTTACTTGCAGCAAGTAAAGGAGATGGGATTCACATCCGAAGCTCTGCTTCCCCAAAGGGAGGCTTAGCATTGCTCATATATACCATTCGGTCCATTACACGATGATCAAGTCACCCTGTTTCCAGTTGGTCTGCGCAATGGGGTGCTACGTTTTAACATTCAGTATTCAGTACGAGGGGCCCCGACCCTGAGACTTGTCTTTCTGACACAGTCTCCCCCCAGCGGCTCTGAATGCTGTCCCACTGGAGCTTAGGTTTCAGCACGAGAATTCTAAGAGGGCACAGCACGTATCGCACCTCGTCTGCGGCTGCCCTTCTTTGAGCCTGTCTCTCTCCAACAGGGAAATGAAATGACCCGGCCCTAAGTCTCAGACCAGCTTGTAATAATCTTGAGGTCTAGTTGTGACTATCAGGTCAGTTACTGGCCTCAGGGACTCCCAGCCATAAACCTTGCGGTGAGTGACAGGCTCCTGAGGGAGCAGGAAGTGAGAAGTGGGGTGCGTAGAATCGCTCAGCGATGCCTATGACCGTCAAGCCAAACTAGTGTGTTTTGAGCACGGGGAGCCAGCTGGGCGCCGAGGTGGGGCAGTGAATGAATAGGTCAGGCGGTCTCTGTCCTCACCGCCTGTGGACAGCACTTGGCATCTGGTGGGGGTCTGGCTTTCGGGCTCCAGAGCAGAACAAGGCCGGTGAGAGCGAAACTGCCCACGCCCTCCAGGGAGCCTGCGAGAAAACACACGCAGTGGTGTTGGAAGAAGGGGTGCTGCGGGCGAGTGGGCCAGTGGGCTCAAGCTCAGAGAGGACTCGGAGCTGCTTTGGAGGGAAGGGCAAAATGTGGATGTCTGGAGAGGAGAGCGCAGAGCGTTCAAAAGCGCGCCCGCAGGCTCAGGCCGGGGCAGTACATGTAGAGGTGTCAAGGTACAAATAAGTGGGAATAGAAAGAAAAGTACTTCAACCCATTTCTGGGTGATAAAAGCATTTTGATGGTGAAAGGGACCTTAGAGATCGTAACACCCGACGGGTCCCCAGGGGCAGGGACTCTCCGAGGAGGCAGGCTCGTTCCAGGTCCTGGGGGTGCGGAGTGCGCACTGGGATGTGGGTGAGTGGGGGCTGGAGAGAGCGACCAGGAGTGTGGGTGCTCATCCTGAGTGCCAGCTCCTAGCTCAGCTCTGTGACCGTGCAGCGTCTCCCCAGTTGCATAGAGAATTAATTCTTTAAAGTACCCTTACTTAGAACCTCTGTCACCGCCCTTTCGAAAGTCTTAGGGGCTCTCCTTCCCTTGTCTTCAAGTACTATACGCACGGACACTTCATTTCCCCACAGTGGATCATCACTTGTTTTGACCGGACGATGCTGGGCCAGTTAGTGTTCCCCTCCCCCACTCCCAGTGTTTCATGGCAGTTGGGGGGCTTGGGATTGGGGAGCCCAGAACCACCCTCACAAGCTGTGTGACTTTGAGCTTGTTGAGCCTCTGACTCCTCACCTGAGCTCTCTGACCTGCCCACTCCATGGGGTTATTTTGAGATAAAACGTAATTATTCTTTTAATTTTATTATATTATACATATAGAGTATCTTTTTATTTTCTCTTTGAGAACTCATCCCCTATTTTATTTATTTTTTATTTTTTTTATCCTCACCCGAGGACATTTTTCCATTTTTTTGTACAGATAGAGTGGGAGGGAGAGAGAGGAAGAGATATATAGAGAGAAACATCGATGTGAAAGGGACACATCGAGTGGCTGCCACCGCACGACCAACCAGGGCCGGGGACAAACTGCAACCGAGGTACATGCCCTTAGCGGGAACCGAACCCGGGTCTCTCCGGACCGCAGGCCGACGCTCTAACCGCTGAGCCAAACCGGCCAGGGCCCCTATTTTATTTTTTAGGGCCACATAGTTTTGTTTAGACAATAATGTTACTTCTGTGATCTAAAATAATGTTTCCAGGACTTCTGAAGTGGATTAAAAAAACGTGTTTTTCAGCTCTGGCTGGTTTGGCTCAGCGGTGAGAGCGTTGGCCTGAGACCAGAGGGTCTTGGGTTTGATTTGGGTCAAGGGCAAAGCCACGCGCCTCGGTGCGGTTCCCTGGCTGGGGTTGTGCGGGAGGGAACCGATTGATGTCTCTCTCTCTCCCACTCCATCTAAAGGTAACTGGAAAAATATCCTCAGGTGAGGATTTTTAAAGAAATGTTTTCCCACCGAACGTAGAGCAGTACGTAATTGTTCTCTGTGGTCATCGTTGGTGCTTCGTCTCCCTTTCTCGTTGCGGTGTTCTCCCTGAAGCCCGCCCCGAACTCAGACAGCCACTCTGAGAGGGCAGGAGAGCCAGCCTTCGCCCGGGCCAGCTTCTTCGCACGCAGACTCCTCGAATGTGCTGTAGACCGGCTCGGTTCGGGGGGGCTCTGGGGAGCGCCTTCCCGAGCCTGCTCCCCGGCACAGGACCGACAGCCAGAACCGCACCCCGGATGAGGGCTGATCAAGGACGTGCCTGCTGACCCTGCTGTAGTTCACAAGCATGGCGACCGGTCTGCATACTTCTGTTCGAGACGTGTCTCCCGCTGCACCTTGTTACGACTTTGGGACACTGCCCATCTGGCATACAGATCAATCAGTAAGTAAGTAAAAGAACGTGCCTGGCGGCGTCCGCATCTCAGTCCCATCAGGACGCTGTAACAAAGGGCCAGAGGCGGGGCAGTAACAGGGACAGAAAGTTATTTCTTACTGTTGTAAAGGTGGGGAAGGCCAAGGTCAAGGTGGCAGAGGCGGGAACCTCCCATTTCCTGGTTCACAGACCCCCTGTGTTTTTGCTGTGGAATCTTTAAAAAAGATTTTTTTTTCGTTATTGGTTTTTAGTGAGAGAGGAAGGGAGACAGAGAGAGATAGAAACATCGATGAGAGAGAACACTGATTGGTTGCGTCCTGCACGCCCCCCCACTGGGGATCGGGCCCACCACCTGGGTATGTGTCCTGGCCAGGAATCGAACCGGCGACCTCCTGGTGCAGGGTCGACGCTCAGCCACTGAGCCACACAGGCCGGCCTGGAGTCTCCTTTATAAGAGCACTAAACCTGTTCATGAGGGCTCCACCCTCCTGAGCTAAGCACCTCCCACAGGTCCCACCTGCAAACACCATCACTTTGGGCTTTAGGATTTTATCATGTGACGTTTGAGGGCACAAAAGTCTTCCGATCATTGCAATTAGCTGAGGGGCACCTTTTATTTATTTATTTTTTATCCTCACCTGAGGACATTTTTTGATCAGATAGAGTGGGAGGGAGAGAGAAGGAGAGAGAGAGAGAGAGAGAGAGAAACGTCAGCGTGAAAGGGACACATCGAGTGGCTGCCACCCGCACGACCAACCAGGGCCGGGGACAAACTGCAACCGAGGTACCTGCCCTTAGCGGGAGCCGAACCCGGGTCTCTCCGGACCGCAGGCTGATGCTCTAACCGCTGAGCCACACCGGCCAGGGCTGAGGGGCACCTTTTAAAGTGTCCGACCCCCTCCTTTCCCACAAGCTCCTTTCAGGTGACTTCTGAGAGCGTGTTCAATGCCCCTAAACGAGCCGTGACATCCACTGTGCTCCCCGTAACAGCCGATTTGGGGTGCTCTCTCCGCGACCTGTGCGGTCAGCAGACGCTGCCTCGGGAGAGGGGCACCGCACACTCCACCTACCCAGCTCCCAGACCCCGCTGTCTCTCCAGGCTCCACGCTTCTCCCTAGCTCTGCGCAGGCAGTTCGACAGACAGGAGCAGAGCAAGGACAGTGGCCAGCTACAGAAGGTCAAGAGCATGGAAAGCCCCCGGTGGCCGGCAAAGGACAGCTGTAGGGTGGGACCTCGCCCCAGGGTGACCTTCCCTCCCCGGAGACAACATTTAGGCCTCAGTTGTATTTCAGCTCCAGGCCCAGAAAAGCTGCAAAACTAGACAAGACTTCGGGGACCGACTGCATTGGATAATGACCCCCTGGTGCCGGCCAATCAATCAATGGAGACTTGACCCTAAAGAGACACACCTGAAAAGCTGCTGACTATTCTATTAAGATCTTCCCCTGGGTTGCGGGCTCGATCCCCAGTGGGGGGCATGCAGGAGGCAGCCGATTGATGTATCTCTTTCACGTTGATGTTTCTATCTCTCTCTCCCTTCCTTTCTCTCTAAAAAATAAATAAAAACATATTTAAAAAGCCCTGGCCGGTTTGCCTCAGCGGTTAGAGCATCAGCCTGCGGTCCAGGGAGACCCGGGTTCAGTTCCCGCTAAGGGCATGAACCTTGGTTGCAGTTTGTCCCCAGCCCTGGTTGGTCGTGCAGGTGGCAGCCACTCGATGTGTCCCTTTCACGTCGATGTTTCTCACTCTCTCTCTTCCTCTCTCTTCCTCCCACTCTATCTGAACAAAAATGGAAAAAAATGTCCTCGAGTGAGGATAAAAAAAAAAAAACTGGCAAAGAAAATAGATATACAAATCCAGGATGTACAGAGAGTGTGAAAACAAGGTGAACCCAAAGAAGCCCACATCCAAACACATCTTAATTAAAATGCCAAAGATTAAAGACAAAGAAAGAATCTTAAAAGTAGCAAGAGAAAATTAGTTACATACAAGGGAGCTCCTATAAAACTGTCAGCTGATTTCTCAGCAAAAACTTTCAGGCCAGAAGTATTCCAAGTGGCGTAAAATATTCAAAGTGATGAAAATCAAGGACCTAAAACCAACATTACTCCACCCAGCAGGGCTATTATTTAGAATCAAAGGTCAGATAAAGAGCTTCCCAGAAAAGTAAAAGTTACAGAATTTCATCATCACCAAACCAGTATTACAAGAAATGTTAAAGGGACTCTCTAAGAAGAAGAAAGTAAGTAAAAACATAACAAAATGGCAATCACTATGTGTCTATCAGTAATTATTTTCTAAAAGATGATTTTATTTATTTTTTATTTCATCCTCACCTGAGGATATTTCTTCCATTTATCTTTAGATTGAGTGAAGGGGGTGGGGCAGAAACATTGATGTGAGAGGAACACATTGATTTGTTGCCTCCTGAATGACCCCAACCAGGGCCGGGGACAAACCGCAACCGAGGTACGTGCCCTTGGCTGGAATCAAACCTGAGGCTCTTTGGTCCACAGGCTGATGCTCTAACTGCTGAGCCAAACCGGCCAGGGCTCAATAATTGTTTTGAATGTAAATGGACTAAATGTTCAATCAAAAGACATAGGGTGGCCGAATGGAGAAGAAAACAAGACCCGTAAATATACTGCCTACAAGAGACTCACTTCAGATAGAAGACACACAGACTGGAAGCAAAGGGATGGAAAGAAACATTTCATGCAAATGGAAATGAAAAACAAAACAAGACTGGGGTCGCCAAACTTATATCAGACAAAATACACTTTAGAAACAAAGGCTATAACAAGAGACAAAGAAGGACATTTCATACACAATAGCCAAGATATGGAAGCAACCTAAGTGTCCATCGATAGATAATTGGATAAAAAGAAATGGTACATACACATAACAAAGTATCACTCAGCCGTAAAAAAGAATGAAATTTTTTGTTACAACACAGATGGTCCTTGAAGGTATTATGCTAAGTGAAATAAGTCAGACAGAGAAAGGCAAATACCAAAAGATTTCACTTCTATGTGGAATCTAAAAAAAGAAAATAATAATAAATTACAGACAAAGCAGAAACAAATTCATAGATTCAGGGAACTGATGGTTGCCAGATGAGCGGGGGAGGGTTAGGGGCTGGGTAAAAAGGGATTAAGAAGTGTAAATTGGAAGTTACAAAATAATCTTGGGGATGTAAAGTACGGTATAGGGAATATATTCAATAATATTGTAACAACTATGTATAGTGCCAGATGAGTATTAGACCTATCGGGGGAACACTCTGTAAGTTATGTCTAATCACTGTGTCTAACCACTGTGCTGTACACCTAAAACCAATATATTGTGAACTGAAATGCACAAATTTTTTTAAATGACTTTAACTTTTTTAAAGTGATGTGATCTTCAGAGAGACTCCAGTTGTACTGAACGGGTAAGAGTAATGGGAAATTCTAAAATAATATTAATTTATCGAGCCAAACCTAGAAGCAACCTGCTACTAGATGACTTTGTGAAAGTGTCATAGACGGAGGAATTATGATTGGAAACGTGGCCGAAGGGTGGATGAGCATGGGGTGGGGACTCGGTCCGTTGCACCCCCCACTCCCGCAGCAGGAGGAAAACGGGGCGTTTCTCGGTGGCCACAGCCAGCCCTGCTCGTCGGCCGGCCTCCTGGGGTCTCCCCAACTTCTCTCCAGGGACTTGGTCACAGTCTTCCCAGAGTACTCCTTGTTGCACAATCAGCATACTTAGCAGGTGGCATTTCAATCAAGGGCAACAGTAAACATTTTTAGGGCACAGATTCAAGGAGGAGGCAAGACTTCTTGGGTTTAAACCCTGGCTTCAAGGACAATCGGCTGCGTGAACTCGCTAACCCAGCTTCTCTGTGCCTCCTTCTTCACGGTTGTAACATGGGAAAACACTCCTCCTCACACACACATATATAAATACATACATTTAATTGACTTCGGAGAGAGGGAGAAAGAGAGAGAGAGAGAGAAACATTGATGTGAGAGGAGAACATCAATCAGTTGCCTCCCACACAAGCCCGGGCTCAGGATTGAACTCACAACCCAGGTATATGCCCTGACTGGGATTCAAACCTGCGACCTTCTGGTGTACGGGACGACACTCAACCAACTCAGCCATACCGGCCAGGGTGAGCTAGTAATCTTTGTACTTGTTTTTTTTTTTTTGGTACATGTCCCTAGTGGGAACCAAACCCGGGACTCTCTGGTCTGCAGGCCGATGCTCCAATTGCTGAGCCACACGGGCCAGGGCTAGGGCTGTACCTGTGTTATAGGCTGGTCATGAGGGTTCAATGAGTTAATATACAGAGTGGCTTGGAACAGCTCCTGGCCCATCACAAACACTGCAGTATCTGTTTACACTTTCGATGGTCTACAGTCGTGCAGTTAGAACATAACACAGCTGTGTGAGTGGAGGCAGCCGGTAGATGCTCCGTTCAGATCTGGTCAGTGATCCGACAACGAGAAGGCGAAGAACAGAGCGACTCGACAGGCGCACACAGACACCTGAGTGTTTTCACAGGCTGCAACGTCGAGGCCGCTGGACTGTCAGTTCCGCTGTCAGACTCCCCTGTGCTTGTTAGCTCTCCCCTGCCCGCGGTTTTCAGCCAAGAAGCACCTTCGTGAGCGACAGCGGACCCTGGTGGGTGCAGTGTGGGAGCTGCAGGCCGTCTGGGAGGCGGGGGCAGCGCTGGGTTCTCGGGCTGTCTGCATGAGCTTCCGTTCCGTCCTCTGACTCGGGAGGTGCGGCAGTGCGCCGGGCCTCCGACAGGCCAAGGAGCGTGCCGCTGGGTTAAAACCCGCCTCATTCCCAGCTGGTTTAATGGAGAGGAGGCATACCCCTGTTAGTAAGGAGAGGGCTGAGTCTTTATATTTCGTCCTGTCCCGTTCATGATTTCTGTTGGGGGTGAACGAGTGGGCCAGGGTTCGGGTGAGCTCATTTAAGGAGCGGCTGGCCCTGTGTCTCC